CTAAAACCACCCCCCTAAGTAAAACCTAAAAACCCAACAAACCCCTATAAACCCTATGAATCTCTTACACCCTAAAACCCAATAAACCCCGTAAACCCTATAAAGGCCCTGAACCCTAAACCCTAAACCCTGAATCCTAAACCCTAAACCATACAGAACCCTAAACAAGTCTGATGACCAAGGAATCCTGGCCTTGAAGAGCGCCGCCGCCCGGGTGGCCGCCCTCCTTCGCTCGGAAAACATTTTAGGGATTTAGGGATTTAGGGTTAGGGATTTAGGGAATTTGGGGTTTAGGGAGTTAGGGTTTAGGGATTTAGGGATTTAGGGTTTACGGGTTTTGGGGAATTTAGGGCTTAGGATTTAGGCTGCCACATACAGAGGGGCTTACTTGTGGCTTAGTAGGGAATAAGGGAATATATCATTTAGGGGTTATAGGTCTTAGGGTTTTGGGTTCAGGGTTAACAGGGAATGGGGGAATATGTTGGGGCGGATTTGAGGATAATGGACAAGAAAATGGAAGCTACTAAGGACATTGCAGTAGGGTCTCTACTAGAACTTAGTAGGGAAGAAGGGTGTAGTTATATCATATAGGGGCTATATAGAAATTCTATGGAGATGATATTCCCTTATTCCCTACTGATGAACCACCAATAAAGGGGTTGTTGTGCCAGAAGCAGAGAGGGATTTACACTGTTTTCACAAAAAATGCAACAGGCAAGACAGCTAGCACGAGTAACGTGCTTTTTATGGTGATGCTACGCGTCCTCTTGCAGACTGCAACCAGCACCGCAACATAAAGCAACCACCATCATCATCATCAGCAGCAGCAGCAACCAACGACAGCCCTCATCAGCACCATCATCTTCATCCCTACCATCATCCTCTCCCGCAGGTTACATCTCACACTCATCTTATCTCATGCGATTCATGTGATCATCGAACCATCGTGATCACTCGCCCATTCTTCTTGGCATTGGCAGCTGCAGTGCCTACATATGTAATTATGTATTCAAAGCCGCGCGCAATCAATGCAGCCCTCCCCTTGTAAAGATGCAGGTCGAGCAGCCTGGGTACTATTTGGATATTTGCTCGCGGTACAGCTCAGAAAGCTTCATCGAAAGGTCAGCCACGTAGAAAATCCGTAGAAAACGTCTCCGCAAGCAGAGGCCACAACATCTACTGTTATCATTTCAGTCATTGCTGTTGTTATTACTACTGTTACTATTAGAGCGCAGAGCAGAAGCTAAAACTCCACACAGCAGCCAAATGAAAGATCAACTTGTCATCTGGTGGTCCTCCGGCCCGCCAGTCGCCGGCAGAGTTGGGGCCTGCAGCTTATTAGTGTTATTATTACAACTATTAATTGCTTTTATTATCGGAACTATGACCATTATTACTACTATTGCCGTTTATCATTTTGTTGCTTCCATTATTATGACTCTTGTTTCCTGGGGATTGCCCATGCTTTCTACCCCCAATCTCTGGAACAGCACGATGGCAGCTTCTGTTCTCAAAATCCGAGGTGGCGTAATGCCAAGGATACCCAAGGGGGACCCAAAGCTGAGAATAACCCAGCTTGTCCAGAACCCTACAAGCAGCCCATCATTTTCAGGCATCCCGTCTCTAAATTTGGGAAGCTTTTTTTGGATGTCTTCATGTATTTTGCCATGCCTGCGTAAAACCAAGACTTAGTAGGGAACCCATTAGTCCCTCCTCCCTTAAGGGAGTTGTATAGAAGGCCTTAGGAGGGTCCCCCACCCTGTAATAGTGGTATAATAGGAGTATAAAAACCCTAATATAGTCATTAATATCCCTTATAGTCACTATTACTGGGTGGGGGGTCCACCTAAAGAAGGTCTTTGGTAGACTCCCCACCTGAAAACACAGTAAACTACCCACCTGTAATGGGCGTCTACCCAGTACCTACCATCCCTATTTCCAAAGGTCTGTCTTAAAGCTTAGGTGAACCCAGCATAAGCAATCTGCTGTCATGTTCCGGCCACTTCCTCATCACGAAACACTATCCGTAAAAATCCTGTTCTGCCTTCGGCACATGGCATTTGTTAAGCCCTAAACCCTAAATTTCCTAAACCCTAGATCCTGAACCTCGTACGGTCCCTTCTTCACAGGGTCGTTTTCAACAACACTTACATGAGGGAGCTAAGCCTTGGAATCACAGGGGCATTCTGGAAGAAGATGCAGAACTTGCTCTCCATGTGGCCATAACTTACTGGTGCTTTGGAGGTATAAGGGAACATAGTCCCTATACGGTTCCTGTATAAGTCCTGTATTTTCTGTTTATAATATAATTATTCCCATACTTCCTTACTAACCACCAGGAAGGTATGGAGAAAGGTGAACTCAAGCCTGACACCCTAAGGCCCGATCCGGCAAGCCCTAAAACTTAGGTGGACCCCGCCCCCCCCCACCCAGTAATCGTGACTACAAGGGATAACAAGGGTTTAGGGGTTTAGGGTTTGGGGGTAGTACAGTAGTGACTACAAGGGATACTAAAGATTATATTAGGGTCCTCTTATGTTCCTATTTTACCACTATTACAGGGTGGGGGCACAGGTCCTTAGTCCTGAAGCCCTTAACCCGAAGCCCAAAATCCGTGAGCCCATACACTTTAAGCCGCCCCGAAAAAAATAGCTTGGTTTGTTTGTAAGCCCCCAACTTAGTTATGAATGGGTCCCTACAAAACCATATGTACGAGAAATTCGTGGTTATCCCCTAAAACTAAACCCTAAGCCACTAAACCCTAAACCCTGAACCTAACCCTAAGGGTCCAAGGACCCAAATAATAGGGTTTTAGGGCCCAAATACCATTAATATTATAGTGCTTGGGCCCTGAAACCCTATTATTTGGGTCCCTGGACCCTTAGGGTAAGCTAAAGGTCTGAGCACCCGACGGCTGTCGCCCCGTCTTCTGTAAGTCCCTGGCCAGGCCCCGCGCCTGGGATAAGGGTTTAAGGGCTTAGGGGTTTAGGGTTTAGGGTTTAGGGTTTAGGGGTTAGAGCTTTGGTTTTAGGTCAAGGTTCTGAAGATTTGCTAGTTTTCCACATCAAGGGCCCGAAATAGAGACCCCAAACTACTATTCTTATCGAGAATCCTCATTATAGGTATCCCTTGGGTATTGCCCCCCCTCAGTAACAGTTGGATAAGTATTATATGGCTATATATTATAGCCCTTAATTGGACCCCTAAAATAGACTGTTACTGGGAGGGGGCAGTACCCAAGGTATCCCCAAAACTAAACCCTAAACCCCTAAACCCTAAAGGTATCCCCAAAAGGCACCCCTAGTCTACGGAAACTCCCACTTTGGGCTCCCTTCATACCGGGGGTCCTTATCTAATGCTAAACCCCAAAGCCCTAAACCCTGTGGACCTGAGGTGGACCCCCACCCAGTAATAGTGACTATAGGGGATAATAGGGATTATATTCGGGCCCTCTTATATTCCTATTATACCACTATTACAGGGTGGGGTTCCTCCTATTGTAGACCCTAAATGCGGAGACCGACCCAAAATCTGACGTCCTAACCATGGCCTGATATGAGCTATAGTCTGAACTCCTAGAATCCCCCTTCATAACTCCTATCATAGCCTCCTATATTTTCCCCTATATAACACCCTTTGAGGAGTTTAGAAGTTCAGATGGGTCCAAACCCTGTCACCTAGATCATAAGTATGGGCCCTTGATCGGGCTTCTAGGGCTTCACAGAAACCCTAAACCCTGGGTCTGGCGATTGGGTAAGGGAAAAAAGGCATTCTTCTTTGGGAACTGAATTCTAGGGATCTGAAATAAAGTCCACCTTTCCTAGTGATTTCGGGATTATGGAAAAGAACATGGAGACTACTACATTAAGATATTTTATGTAACAATGGAAAAGAAATTGGAAACTGCTATTTAGAGTTTAGGGTTTGGAGTTTAGGTCCAAGCCCAACTCCCGTGACAATTCATATACCACAAATAGCATCAATGTGAATGTCGCGTCAGGGCATTGTCAATAACGGATGGGCTTTCTGAGTTTAGAGGCATTTTTGAAAGAAGTTTGTATGGCATATTGACATTATCGTAATATCCAGGTTGTGTGAGGGAACTTTATAGGGGTGGTACCAGTGGGCATCTCTCGCAAAAGAGAGGCCCTTTACACAGTACCGGTCCCCTGAATGCACAGAGGGGCCCAATATGGCCCAATGTTGAGAACTTAGAGTCTCAAATCCTGGGAAGATCATTCTGGGGACTGAGAAGACGGGGTAGAGCAAAAGCATTCGAATTTCAAGCATTCCTGCACGAGTTATTAAGCCTCGCTGAGCCACCAAACGCATGTGTTACATACCATTGCCTTTTAATGCAAGATCATCGCGTCTTTACTGCCTTTGTGAGAGAGGCTTCCACATCCACATCTTCATGAAGATGACATACTCCGCAATCCTAAGCCCCGAAACGGCTTGATAATTACGGGGGGCTATGGTATTGGCGGGTAGGGACAGTTTCAGAAATTTGGTTCTGAATATGTGCCTCCAACATACTGACATAGCCAGTGGTTTTGAAACTAAAGCTCAATGTATTGCACACATTGGGCCCCAACAATGGAACGCATTTTCGCTGCATAATCATGTTGGTGCCTTTGGCAACCAGTCTTCTGCTAGGTAGCTTGCTTGTTGCACGCCACATCACACGCGCCTGGGGGGGTTCAATGGGGTTGGGCACAAGTTCTGTGGGAGCGCAACAAGCTCCTGGAGGCTGAGTGCTCTGCTCCAGCTACCACGCTCATTGACTCACTTTTGGGTGACCCGCCTTCTGTTCTGTTGAGGCTGGTTCTGAGGCTGGCACAACGAGTGCTAGTAAGACGAGTATCCAACACTAGAATAAACGGTCACCCTGCAGGCAAAGGCATGCGCGAGCTTCTCAGCAAAGGGCAGGCCAGAACCTCTTGAATAACACTGCAGGGGCTATTTCATGGCTACTTCATGTATTTTAAGAAGCTCCCAGCTTACCTGCTGAATTGCCTCTTGTCATTGGCATCTCGCTTCCCATACGGGTTGTCCGCTGAGAATTGATGCCCTGAGGACTTTGCCGACATCTGTTTCTTTAAGGTTCCTTTCGTTCCAGTTGCTTTTTTTCTGGCTGTATGCTTCAGATTTAACTCCACTTTGGGAGGGTGTGCGAAGCCGAATGCTTTCGCCACCTGCGCAAGGTCTAGCTTGTGCACGTCGAAGCAGTCCTTGTGGCTGTGGGCCGCATAGGCATGCATGTAGGACCTGTACGCGTCCCTTGAGCTTCTGTGCAAGTGGTAGTTCTTCTCGATCACTCTCCTGGCACAGCTACGCAGCATTTCCATGAGGACATCAAGCGACGTGCAACTGGTATCTTGCGATTACTTACCCAAGTCTAACACCTCAACGACAAACACTAGCTTCAAGCCCCTAGATTACGCAGCCCAGACACTCCAATTGCGACTGGATGTTTGCCTTGGTTCAGAGAGGGCTGCCAAATCTGGCCGGGAACGACAAACTGCAAGAAGCATCCGATAGAATCCCCTTTAAGGAGTTTAGACTATAGCTTAAGTGAACTCCAGGACCAGCTGCTATTTTGCTGCTGGGAAAGCTGTACTCGGCCACAGGGACACCGGCACGCCGCAAGTAGTGCAGAAAGCCAAGCTCCTGCTGGAGACTTGTGCTGTGTTCCAGCTTACATCGTTTCTTCTCTCTTGGGTCGGGCTTTGGGATCGATGCGTCGGGACGCGTGCACAGCTGTGTCCAGGTAAGTAGCTGTCACGATCTTAGTCTTCGTGCTAATTGGAACTCCAAAGTTCGGTCCTGTTTGGACTAACAATGTCTCGACTGTTCAACTCTAAAAACAAGCGCAGCGTCGGAGACGATTACGGCTACGATTGCTCACGCGAACAAAGCAGTGGAAACTCTGATGCTTACAAGCGAGCCGACAACAGGCTTTACAGCAGCATGCATAGCTGCACAGAAATTCCGGAGAAGAAGTCATTACACGCCGCTTCTTCCGGTGTGCAGACACTGGCAGCAAGGATCCACGTACCAATCATCATACACTTCCCCTTAGGGGGTCTCTGTTAGGGACTGCTAAGGATTATTGGAAGCAATCTTGAAGAAGTCCTCGGCATTTGTGCAGACCCACTTCTTGCTCCTGAGGCCTCTACCCACGCAGGCGTAATCTTTAAAGAAATATGATATGGGGGATTTCCAAGCACCGCCAATGAGGATGATAGGGAACAATGAGTTCCTCAGTGGGGATAACTTGTTGCGCAAATTCCTTAATCCACGGGCCAGTCATTGTTTGGGGCACCAAACCCTGGCATTCATACACCCACCCAAAACATATGAAACAGGCGCATAGGTGACCCATGATTTTAAAAAGCCTCTTGCTTGTGTTCACTTGACCCCAGGAGAGAGAGAGAGAGAGAGAGAGAGAGATGTAAATATGTAACCAACCAAGACGACCCCACTCGGCTCCAAGAATCTTGGCCCTAAACCTATGTACACTAAATATGATTGGTGCTGCTCCTCCGGCATGAGGAAGAGTAGGGCCTTGCCTTTGCCGGAAGCCCCACGGGCTGTTCTCCCGACCCTGTGGATGTACTCCTCAAGGCATATGGGAGATTCCTAAAATTAGGATGCCCTTGTGGGGGGGGGGGTCCCATAATAAGGATTAGAGCATGTTGGGGTTTAGACCGGAGTCCCTACTTTGGGATACTACTAGTACCATGTATTTCTTGTCTGGTACACATACTACAGGCTTTCAGTGGATCTTTGTGGGATTTCTGGTCGTACCTTGTTGTCTTGCGTTGCGAACATCACGAACATCAAACATCATCAAACGGACTGCTAGTGGCAAAGCCGACTAAGACCTGCCTCACGAAAGGCAGCCAGCCATCTGGGGGAATTACGATAAGTGTCACTCCTTTTGGGTCTAAGTAGCCCCTATAGTAACAAATCACTAGTGTTTGTGTTGCCTACGGGCTTGTGATGACATAACCACTCAGCAAGGAAGCCACAGCGTCCTTCGGCTCGTCTGGCGGGTCATACCTCACGCATATAGAACACTCTCATGTGCTCATGGAGGTGCTGGGTGGAGTTCGTTGAGTAGGGTTATATTAGGTGTATATGGTCGTTATATGGGGGATAATGGAAAAGAAAATGGAAACTACTGTAATGAGTTATATAGGGTTTGGGTTTTGTCTGAATCTTTGTAGCCTGTCTCGCCCCAATGAAAATTTGCGAGCTATTCCTGCCTTCATTGGCTCATGCAAGAGCCTCACCCAAACACGCTGAAGTACCCTGGGCATACCTCCTGCCGCCAGCGCCGTGCACGCGTGATGCGTGCAGCCTACATATACATATACATGTACATATACATCTATGGGTACATGTATACCAGCAGGCAGCATGACATTCTGAATCCTGGGAACACCGCTATGGACTGGTTCTCTTTGCAACCGCATGAATTACTGGCAGCAGCCTTGTGTCAGCTGAGAGGCTGCACGATCCAATCCACTTTCGGGATATCCAGGCCGCGCGCTGCGACATCTGTGCAGAGAAGGATTCCCGTTTCAGCCGCGCAAAACTGATAGTACCTTGGACACCATCATGCACCTATTTGGCCCAAACGAATCAAACGCCACAAACGGGATGACTGGCTATGCATGACAGACCTTCACATAACTTGGCATTGTTAGCGCAGTCGCAAAGTGTGGATGGATATCTCGGAGATTGCTGTCCATGCAGGCAGCGGGCACATACAACATATGGTAATCTCCCCAAATAAGGGGACCCCGATATGGACCCCAAAATACGAGTCCTTATTATAGGGACCCCCCAAAGGGTACCCCTAGTTTTGGGAAACCCCCATATCGGTCATATCTTGTATCAACTGCATCCCGAGAGCTTCTCTGCTGACAAGGCTCGTTGAGCTCCTTGCCGACTGCTTCTTGTGACCATGTATGCAGTTTACTGGAAGGTCAATGTAGTTCAGCAGCTCATCATGAAACCTCGGAGGACTATCTACGGACGCATGAGGCCAGTAGGCCGGGGCAAGAACAGAGGGGCCAATCTGGCATCTGCACAGCTACTGGCAACCCATCTTGTCGCCCAGCAACTTCACAGAGTTGCACGCAGACATGAAGACCATGACCTTCTTGTCCTTGTTTCTCTTGAGGAAGGTGAAGAGGAGTAGAAAGCGCGTCTGGGCTGGGCAGACCACATAGCCTTGCGTCAGCCCCGCGACCGTGGAAACGTTGTCCTGTGTCTTCACTTCCACGAAGACCGGCTTGCTTAGGGAGAGCCTAGCCAGGTCGGCAACTTTCCTTGTCTGCGTCGCCGAGAACAAGGATGTCTGTCTCTTCTTGGGCAACATCTTAATGATGAGGTTCATCTCCTCCTCAAAGCCCACTTCCAAAATGCGATCTGCCTCGTCAATGATCAAGTTCACTAGATTATGAAACACGAAACCTTTGGTGTTTTGCATGTGATCCAGCAAACGACCTGGCGTGGCTATGAGAATGTTGACGCCCTTGGCAAGCTTTTCAGCCTCGGGCTTGCGATTCATGCCGCCAATGACAACTGCAATCGACTGAGACATATACTTCGAGATGTTCCTGAGGACATCGTAAATCTGGTTTGCAAGTTCGCGCGTGGGTGAGATTGCAATTGCGCCCGCCCCATTCCTTGGCAGGAACTTGACGTTGTACAGTAGGTCACAGGCAGGCACCAGGAATGCCAGCGTCTTGCCACTGCCTGTTTTTGCCGCTGCCAGCACGTCTTTACCCTTCAAGAGATGGGGAATCGACTTTGCCTGGATCTCAGTCATCCGCTCAAAGTTGTGCTCATTGAGAGCCTTTCAGATTGGCATTCAATGGGGCTTGGGCTGCCACATTCATCTATTCCTAATACTATCACAACTAACTATCAAGTATTAACTACTTCTTACTTCTTCTTCTTCTTCTTACTACTACTACTCCTACTACTACTACTACTACTAGTACTACTACCACTACTACTACTACTACTACTACTACAACAACATCTGCGGCTCGCATGCGCTGCTTGAGGCCGCCTCTCAAGAAGAA